CTGGATGAATCCTAGAGTCAGGGCAACAAGGATTCACTTTTTTCTTGTTTTAAGGAAACTTTTTTAAAAGTGTATACTTTAGTAGCATTAAGTATATTCACATCATTGTGTAACCATCTCCACCATCCATCTCCAGAAGTTTTTTATCTTCCCAAACTGAAATTCCATACCCATTTCACAGCAGCTCCCCACTCCTCCTTCCCTCCAGTCCTTGGAAACTACCATTCTACTTTCTGTCTCAATGAATCCGACTACCCTGGGCACCTCATAAGTGGAATCATACAGTATTTATGTTTTTGTGATTGGCTTATTTCACTTAGCAAGTTCAAGATTCATCCATGTTACAGCACAAGTCAGAATTTCCTTCCTTTTTGAGATTGAATAATGTTCCATTGTATGTATTAACCACATTTTTTATACATTGATGGACACTTGGGTTGCTTCCACCTCTTGGCTAATGTGATAATGCTGCTGTGAACACAGGTGTACAAATATCTCTTAGAGATCCTTTTTTGAATTCTTTGGATATTTTCCCAGAAGTGGAATTGCTGGATCGTGTAGTAATTTTAATCATGTTTGAATTTTTTGAGGAACTACTTGCTGTTTTTATTTTATTTTATTTTTTTAATTTACATCCAAATTCGTTAGCATATAGTGCAACAATGATTTCAGGAGTAGATTCCCTATAATGCCCCCTACCCGTTTAGCCCATTCCCCCCTCCCACAACCACTCCAGTAACCCTCTGTTCTCCATATTTAAGAGTCTCTTATGTTTTGTCCCCCTCCCTGTTTTTATATTATTTTTGCTTCCCTTCCCTTATGTTCATCTGTTCTGTGTCTTAAAGTCCTCATATGAGTGAAGTCATATGATATTTGTCTTTCTCTAATTTTGCTTAGCTATTTTTTGTTTTTATATTAGCTATCCTAATGAGTGTAAGGCAGTATCTTATTTGGTTTCAATATGCATTTTCCCTAATGATTAGTGATGTTGAGTATCTTTTCATGTGTTTATTGGCCATTTGTATATGACCATTATATATTTTTTTCTTTTGGAGAAATGTCTATTCAAGTCCTTTGCCCATTTTTAAAATCAAGTTGTTTTTTGATGTTAAGGAAACTTTTTAATTGAAGTCTTATAAGATTAGTCTTTGAGTGTCCTTGTCTTGAGCATATTTCTGTAATGACTTGTCAAGTACCCATGAGCCAGCAGCTGAGGGACTTTTAGCTCTGATTTCTACCATTCCTTCCAGAGTAATAATAGAATCTTAGAATTAAATGAGCTTCAGAGAGTGTCTTAGTCTGTTATGGCTGCTATAAGAAAACAGCACAGACTGGGTGGCTTATAAAAGACAGGAATTTCTTTCTCACAGTTCTGGAAGCTCAAAGTCCAAGATCAGGGTCCAAGACCAGCAAGGGTTCTGGTGAAGGCCCTCTTCTGGGTTGCAGACTGTGGACTTCTCTGTGTGTCCTCACATAGTGGAAGGCAGCTTGAGACATATATTGGGTCTCTATTAAGAGTGCTAATTCTGTTCATGAAGGGTCTACCCTCATGATCTAATCACTTCCCAAAGGCCCTACCTCCTGATACCATTACATTGGGCATTAGGATTTCAACATGTGAATTTGGTGGGGGAACATTAACATTCAGACAATAACAGAGAGCAACCAGATGAGGAAACTGGACCCATTTCTTTTTCCACTGTGCCCTGGGCTACATGACCTAGCCCCTGTGGGTAGCATTTGTTTTATCTTTAAACATGCCTTTCTTTGCCTCCTTTCTCATATTCCTACAAGTATTTTGAAGACTGCTGAATTGATTTTTAATTATTGTAAAGTATTTACATTAGGCATGAGGTTGTGTGTAATTTGAACTTAACAGTTTTTGGAATTGTTCACACTGTCATTTTTAAGTAAGAAGTTTTCTTTAGAAAACTATAGGCCTTTCTTTTTCTGGGGAGATAAGGAGATGAGACCAAAAGGCAAGAAGTAATGCTGACTTCAACTTAAAGTAATATACTTTTGTTCATCTTTGCAAGTAAATGAGCAGTCAGATTTGCTGACTTGTTCCTGTTAGGCAATGTTAGACAATGCTTTTATAAGTCCTAATTAGAATCAATCTGGTTCAGTGTCCTATCTGAGATGAAGTAATTTGGAGCTGCCACATAAAAGGGGATTGCTTATGCCCCTGGCACTAATTCATGGCTGGGTTGGCAATGGCTTCCTGTTCAAAGATGTCAGTTGACAGCAGGGAAGTTTAGGATGCTTACCATTGCAAAAAAAGATCTCTGGGAAGCTCCTAATTTTTTTTCTGCATTAAAAGGTTTTTTTTTTTTTTTAAATTCTGATAAAAATACATATAACATAGCAATCACTATGGAAATTATATGGAGGCTCTTTGAAAAATTAAAAATAGAATTACCATATGATACAGTAATTCCACTACTTAGTGTTTGCTCAAGGAAAATGAAAAGATATATGCACCCCTATGTTTATTGCAGCAATATTTACAATAGCCAAGCTACGGAAGCAACCCAAGTATACATTGATAGATGAATAGATTAAGAAAGTATGTGTGGGGGCGCCTGGGTGGTGCAGTCGGTTAAGCGTCCGACTTCAGCTAGGTCACGATCTCGCGGTCCGTGAGTTCGAGCCCCGTGTCGGGCTCTGGGCTGATGGCTCAGAGCCTGGAGCCTGTTTCCGATTCTGTGTCTCCCTCTCTCTCTGCCCCTCCCCCGTTCATGCTCTGTCTCTCTCTGTCCCAAAAATAAATAAACGTTGAAAAAAAATAATAATAATAAAAAAAAAGAAAGTGTGTGTGTGTGTGTGTGTGTGTGTGTAATGGAATATTAGTCATAAAAAAGATTGAGATCTTGCCACTTGCAACAATGTGGATAGTCTTAAAGGGTATTATGTTAAGTGAAATAAGTCAGAGGCAAATACCATATGATTTCACTTATATGTGTAATATAAAAACAAAAATAAAAACCAGAAACAGACCCATAAATACAGAAAACAAACTGGTGGTTTCCAGGGAGAGGCACAAACTTCCAGTTTTAAAATAAGTTAAAGGGTGCCTGGGTGGCTCAGGCATCAGGTTAGGCGTCTGACTTCAGCTCAGGTCATGATCTCGCAGTTTGTGTGTTCAAGCCCCATGTCAGGCTCTGTGCTGACAGCTTGCTCAGAGCCTGTCTGCTCCGGATTCTCTCTCCCTTTCTCTCTGTCCTTCCCCCACACACACTCTGTCTCTGTATCTCTCAAAAATAAATAAACATTAAAAAAATAATTTAAAAAAATAAGTTCAGTCATGGAGATGAAAAGTATGGCATGGGGAATATAGTCAATAATATTTTGATGGCATATGCTGACAGATGGTAACTACACTTATCATGGTGAGCATTGAGTAATATGTAGAATTGTGAAGTCACTATGTTGTACACCTGAAACTAATATAACATTGTATGTCAACTATGCTTCATAATAAAAATTTTAAATATATATATATATATATATACACATATACATACACACACACATACATATGCACATAACATAAAACTTTCCATTGTAATCATTTTTAAGTGTGCAATTCTGTGGCATTAACTACATTCACATTGGTGTGTAACCATCACCACTGTCCATTTCTAGAACTTGTTCATTCCAAACTGAAACTCCATACCCGTTTAACAGTAGCTCCCCATTCCTCCCTTCCCCCCCATTCCTTGGCAGCTACCATTCTACATTCTGTCTCTTTGACTTTGACTACTCTAGGTACCTCATAAGTTGAACTATACAATATTTGTCTTTTTGTATCTGGCTTATTTCACTTAGCATAATGTCTTCAAGATTCATCCAGGTTGTAGCATGTATCAGGATTTTCTTTTCAAGGCTGAATAATAGTCCGTTGAATGTATATACCACATTTTATTTATCCATTCATCCATTGATGGACATTTAGATCTTTTCCACATTTTGACTATCATAAACATTCTTCTGTGAACATTGGTGTACAGATAGCTCAAGTTCCTGCTTTCAGTTCTTTGATATATACCTAGGAGTGGAACTGCTAAGTCATATGGCAGTTCTATGATTAACTTTTTGAGGAACCTCCATATGGTGTTCCATAGTGGCTGCACCATTTATTCCCACTAGCAGTGCATAGGTTTTCAATTTCACCACATCCTTGCCCAACACTTGTTTTCTGGGGGGTTTTGGTAATAGCCATCCCAATGACTGTGAAGTGGTATCTCACTGTGGTTTTGCTTTTCATTTCCCTAATGATTAGTGATGCTGAGCATCTTTTCATGTGCTTCTTAGGCATTTATATGTTTTCTTTGAAGAAATGTCTGTTCCAGTCCTTTGCCCATTTTTGAATTAGGTTGTTTGGTTGTGGCTGAATTTTATCCAATGAGTCTTTTAATTGGCAAATACTTTTTTTTAAATCTTTATTTATCTTTGAGAAAGAGAGCTAACGAGCAGGGGAGGAACAGAGAGGGAGACACAGAATCTGAAGCAAGCTCCAGGCTCTGAGCTGTCAGCACAGCTGACCTGACGCAGGGCACGAACCTATGAACAGGAAGTTCATGACCTGAGCCGAAGTTGGATGCTTAACTGGCTGAGCCACCCAGGTGCCCCTTATTGGCAGACACTTTAAAGAGGGTATTTGTTGCATGATGCCTTATGAATATATGCCCATTTGTCTTATTTATTTAAAAAAATCTCACTTGGGCACCTGGGTGGCTCAGTCGGTTGAGCATCCAACTCTTGATCTCGGTTCAGGTCATAATCTCATGGTTTGTGATACCGAGCCCCACATTATCATGGAGCTGCTTGGGATTCTCTCTCTTCCTCTCTCTCTCTGCATCTCCCCGGCTCCTACCCTCTCTCTCTCAAAATAAATAAATAAACTTAAAAAATAAAGTAAAAAGAATCTTTGTACACATAGGTAGATAGATGTATATCAATATATAAATAATAAATATATATATTTTTTATCCCAACAGTATATCCTTTCAGGCTCTGATGACTTTAACCTGTATATGTGGAGAATTCCTGCAGATCCAGAAGCAGGTGAGTATATCCTTAGTATGAACCTACTTAGTGTTGGCTCTACTGACCTTTGGCATGCTGTACCCTGAAAGGACTGATCTGTAGCAATAGAGGATGATATTTCTCTTTTAAGAGAATAAGCTTATCAGAAAAGCAACCAAAGGAAACTAGCATAAAAATTAGAAGCCAGATTTCACTCTAACCTTCATACAGATCCTTACTGACATAGTGATGCCCAGGTTTTTTTCCTCCTAAGAACTTTTCTTTAGACTTCATAGATTTCCATTATGTCCATTTTCACACCTGTAATATTTTTATCTTTTACATGCTTTTTCTTTATTATCCATCTGCACATTCCTGTTTGTTATGTACAAAGAGTTGTTAGGGCCTCTTCCTTTCCTTTGGCCTCCCTGGTGATGTCAAGTAAAGGGAAACTTTGTTGATGGATAGGCTCACTCCCTAGATTTGGCTGACCCCAGATATCAAAGAAATTAGGAAGAAATATTTCTGCATTTTCTCTAGATGTATTCTGAAAAACACCTGCAGCTTTCCATAAATTTGGATCTAGGCCATCTGTGCTTTCAAACAGCATGGATTGTTCTTCATTCTTGATAATAGTGTCCTCGGCTCAGTTGAGTCTTACACTGGTTGCTTCCTACTGGTGGGAAAATGTCTATTTTTTATTCTCAAGGAGAGCTCAATATAGCCATCTGCTCCAGTGATACATGGCATCAAACTGGAAATGGCCATTAGGAAAGTAATAGGAGACTAAGCCAAGTGTAGTACATAAAATTTGTTTAGTGCTCAGCGTTTAGGGAAGTTGTTGGCTTGCCCATTACTAAATTAACAATATTGTTACCAAATATCTGCCTTTCAAAACTTGTTGAAGCCTACTTTTGATGTAACTATCCTGTTACTGTGGTCTGGTTACTAAACAAGTTGCAAAAGGCCTTTTTTCCCTTCTGGAATTTGGAAAGCATGAGGGAAGCAGCTTACCTGTGAAGCACGACCAGATGGGACAGCAGCAGTCTATCTGAACCAAAGCGGTATTCTAGCTCTAGAGGTAGTTCTGTAGTAGGTCTCCTACCCCCCTAATCTTCTAGATTGATTAGCTGAGAAATAATCTTTGGGCCTAATTTTATCTTTTACCTGATCTAAAAAAGCTCTTAATTATTAAGTCAATGTGACTTTTTTTTTTTTTTTCAACGTTTATTTATTTTTGGGACAGAGAGAGACAGAGCATGAACGGGGGCAGGAGAGAGAGAGGAGACACAGAATGAAAGCTCCAGGCCTGGATGCCATCAGCCTAGAGCTGCACGCTTAGGGCTCAACTCACGGATCGAACTCACGACACAGATTGACCTGGCTGAAGTCGGACGATCGAACTGCATCATGCCCAGCGCCCTCAATGTGACTTTTAAAATAGAAAGTGGACAACTCCCTTCCTGTGGTACTGTTCTCTGGAATCTTTTTCATGTTTGTATAAAGAGAGAAAGAGTTAGCAATGGTAGTCTAGGTTTTTTTTCCTCTCCTAGCTAATTTTTGTACTGATTTAGGGTATGGGCCACAATTAGGCTGACTTTTGTTTTTTTAGAGGGAGAGAGAGAGAGTGTGTGAGCACACACGAGTAGGGGAGAGGCAGAAGGAAAGAGAATCACAGCAGGCTTCATCATGGGGGAGTCTCGATCTAGGGCTCAATCCCACGGTTCTGGGATCATGACTTGATCCAAAGTCAAGAGTCGGACACTCAACCGACCAAGCCACCCAGGCACCCCAAGCTGACTTTTTTTTTTTTTTTTAATTTTTTTTTCAACATTTATTTATTTTGGGGGGGACAGAGAGCAGAGATGAACGGGGAGGGGCAGAGAGAGAGGGTACTACAGAACTCGAAAAGCTCCAGGCTCTGAGCCTCATCCAGAGCTCTGACGCGGTGGCTCAACTCAAGGACCGCAGATCGACCAGCTGAAGTTGGACGCTTAACCGACTGCGCCACCCAGGCGCCCCCCCAAGCTGACTTTTTAAGTATAGATACCTATGCAGTCTTGGAGTTGGCAGGGACCTGATAGCTGATTTAGGATTCCAGTATTAAAACCAGGATATGGATACCTAGACTTTCCAAGTATTTTTATAGGCACAGCTGCTTTAAAAGAATTCAGTTCTAAATTCTCAAATTCCACGTGTATTCTTTCGTAAAATCAGTATTCCTAAGAAAGTACCCATTCTCCTTCCCCACTTCCCCCTTTCCCTTCTACTTTAGAAAACAAAACAAAACACCCAGAAAACCTTTCAGAAATTTACTCCATAAATTTCTGACCATTGAACCCTAGAACATTGTGCATTGCTGTGAGGTATATAAACCTCCAAGTTGCAAAAATATGTTAGGTTGAAATTGGGGGGGGGTTGTAGGTAATGTGGCAATATTATTTCAAGGAGGAAAAAAGAATAATGTAAATTTTCTATTAAAAAAGGACTTATGGGACACCTGGGTGGCTCAGTCGGGTAAGCGTCCAACTTCGGCTCAGGTCATGATCTCTCATTTCGTGAATTGGAGCCCTGCATCAGGCTCTCTGCTGTCAGAGCCCACTTCGGATCATCTGTACCCCCAACCTCCCTGCCCCTCCCCTGCTCGCACATGCACGCACACTCTCTTTCTCTCTCTTAAAAATGAACAAACATTTGTTTTTAAAAAAGGATTTGTAGGACTAGATCCAGCAGAGGAAGCAGTAGGTAGCTCCTGCCATAAAGGTGTCAGAGAGCTGCAACAGCAAAGCGTGCTAGAAGAACTCAAATTCTGGAGAAGGAAGAGCCCTTCCTAGCCGAGCAGAAAGTGCTGACCTTTGTCTTTCCTAGGCGCATCTGGGCGGAGGCTGCAGATTGGGCTGCCTCAGGCAGGCTGCTGGGGGTCAGAAGAAATCAGAATTTGCAATGACCACATGGGTTGATATGACAGAGTACAATCTAGGAGTGCCTCAAACCCATGGCCATTCTTCCCCGTAGGACTTTTGCTGAGTGCTGGGGTTGTCCTGGGAGCTAGGGGGCTGGGTTGGAGAGGCAAAATTCAGTTCCCACCTTAACACAGCATTTTGGAGGCAAAAGATCCCTAGTGGGAGGGGCCTGCTCCACTGGGCATTTGCCAGATTGTGAACCTGCACAGGAAAGGAGGATAAAGAGCTAAGCTTAAAATCTCCAAAGGACAGAACATTCAGAACAGTGGACAACAGAGGCTTGTCAGACTCCCCATTAAAAGCCCAGGAGGCTTACACTTGAGAATGAGCCTGGACCAGAAAGGCTGAATGAGATCGTGCAATCTTCTGGTGCTTAGGACACAGACTCCAATTAGAGGAAGGCACCTGCCACATATACCCTCCAGGTCTTGCCTTTGAGACCTCTGAAACCAGAAGTAGATTTATTTCTACTAAAGAAGCAACCAAGCCCTGACCTAGTTCCTCTTGATTAGATTGAGGATGATCAGCCCCTTACCTTATTTTCTATAGAGTGGAATGGGTATGGAGGAAATCAGCTTTAGTCTGTTAGTCTTCTTGGGCTGCTATAACAAAATCCCACAAAATGGGTGACTTTAAGAGCAGAAATGTATTTTCTCTCACAGTTCTAGAGGTTAGAAGTCCAAGGTCAAGATGCTGGCAAGTTTGATTTCTCCTGAGGCTTCTCTTCTTGGCTTGCAAATGACCACCTTCTCACTGTGTTCTCACATGGCCTTTTCTCTGTGCACACACATTACTGGTGTCCCTCCTTTTTATGAGGACACCAGTCCTATTGGAGTAGAGTCCTACCCTTATGACTCCATGTAACTTTAATGACTTCCTTAAAAGCCTTATATCCAGGGGCGCCTGGGTGGCGCAGTCGGTTAGGCGTCCGACTTCAGCCAGGTCACGATCTCGCGGTCCGGGAGTTCGAGCCCCGCATCAGGCTCTGGGCTGATGGCTC